AGAAACCGTTTTTGGCACTTTTTGCCCCGTATCTTCAAAACGGCTAGACCTGCCCTCGCCAAAAACTAATCAGCACGTCTCCTTATCATTACGAATCGAATGTTTTTTGAATTATTCAAATCGGTTGAAATCGGTTCTCAAAATCGTCGACGAAAATTTGTATCCGCACACACATATACACACATACACACATATACATTCATTTTTTCTAAGAAATGCCAAAATGTTCAAAAACCTTTAAAACGTAAAGATATATAAAAATTTTCATTTTCGATTTTTTTGCGATTACTATAACTTACCCTACGGAAAGATAAAAAAAACGCATAAAATCAAAATGAAGATCCGCGGTAGTGAATCAAAATACACTACATCAATATCTATTTACTCTATATGTACAGGTTTCGCCATGTAATTCTTTTATTTTTCTTTTTGAAAATGCTATGAAAATAACTACTGAATATTTTCTCAATTTTCTTTTTTATATGAAAGTACTATCCTTCCGGTTAATTATGGAAAATTATATCAACTGCTTCGGCTGGCCATGCAGTAGCATACACTATCCGTCCAATATTTGATAGGGGTCACGACACAAAAAAATTTGGAAACTTATGGTTTATAGTATAAATATTTCCATTATTTGAAAATAAACAAAGAAATCGCATGATCAACTACAATTATTTAGAAAATTTGTAATTATGATAGTTCACTTTGTTTCATTTCTTTGTTCTTTTTTTCGGTTTTAGACGTTAAGTTTACAAACAGGCAAAAAAATTACCTTGCACCTAATTCTTCTGATTTTTTGCTCTTTCAAGGCTTCCTGATCATTTAGGCACATCGTACAATAAGAAAAGTAGATGCATGTGTGTAGAATTTGTCACAGTTTAGTGCAGGAAGCCTAAACAGATTTGGGTGATTCAAAGAGACGTTTCATATTTTCCATACGCAAAGCTCATTTGATTTTGGCGAAGACAACCTAAACATTTGAAAGATATAGCACAAAAATAATTAAAATCATATTTTCTGGCCAAAGATGAGTATTTGACAAACATCGAAATTCTGATTTTTTCAATGAATTAAAATTTCTCGAATTATTTACAAAATTCACTGAAGGCATACAGTATTTACTCTAAGCAAAAATTTCAAGGACCCCGGTCTTCGGTTATTCTTGAAATATTATGAATTGCAGTCGGATTAACAAATTAAATTTTTACTTTTATAAAAAAAAGTGTTTTAAAGGGAGTTTCAAACGTACACAGTGATATTTTTTATATAATTTAAAGTTCCATACCATTTATTCAAAATGTTTTCTTCTATGAAACAAACGATTCGCGCATTGTGTTGATCATCAACCACTATATAAATATTTTCTTTTAAAACCAGTCAAATCACAGTTGATCAAGACCTGAAAATGAACTTATAATTCGCTGTATTTCATGATCATATTATATTCTGCCCGAAGGCAGATACATAGTGTGAAAGCCGCCACAAATAAATGATTCCCTTACCCTTCGTCTATTATCCCCATTACCACTATTCCTCCTCCCCTATTTTCTCATGTATTTTCCTTTCCAAACTTCTGCTTCCGTGCTTCTTGACCATGTGCATCGGCTTTCAGTTCCTTGTATTTTCTCTTCTCGCGTAAGTCGTCAATGGTTTGCCTAATTCTTTCTTTTTTACCCTCAACGACGTTTTGCCAGAGACACTCTTTTTGCCGATCCAGTTTCCTCTTCTTTTCAGAATTGTGCATCCTTGCGGCACTCCTCTACCTATTTCAACGCTGTTTGTATCTGCCTGGTTCACTCGAACCTTTACTTTCTGTCCCATATATAGATTTTGGATCAGCCTGCGATCCCTCCAATAGACAAAATTCCCATAAGCTTATTCCAGTTGACTCTGTCAAAAGCTTTCTGCCAATCTATAAAACAGAAGTATACGTCCTCGTTAACGTCGAGAAATCTGTCCGACATTATCCTTAATATTCCAATAGCGTCCCTGGTGCCTCTTCTTTTTCTAAAACCAAACTGGTCTTCGCTCATGTACTGCTCGATTTTATTTTTAAGTGGTCTCGTAAGGATTTTGGCCACAACCTTTCCCGTGTGCGAAATTAAACTTATGGTCCTGTGGTCACTGCGTTTATTCGCTTTGGGGTTTTTCTGAAGAACTATCATCGTGATATCCAGAAAGTCCTTAGGCCATTCGCCCGTTCGGTATATTTGATTCAACAATTTGGTCAGTTTCCTCAATCCGTTGTTAGTCGTCATTTCCCGTTGCTTTCTATTTTCTCATCTCATTTATTGCTCTCGCGACTTCGCTTTTCAATATGCACGGTTCCTTGTCGTCCTTGTCCCCTTCTTTCTCTTCTTCAATCTCAATATTATCAGGACGATTTTCTCTATCGTACAATTCCTCAATGTATTTTTCCCATACGCTAAAAATTTTCTTGTGGTCACTCACTCAATTTCCATTGTCGTCTTCCATTTTGTATGTTTTTCTGCTTTTCTTTTTATTACAGTCCATTTCCTTTGTAACCTGAAACATTAAATCATACCTACCTTGTTTTTGATGTTCCATTATCCTGTTAACCCTTAATTCATTATTCAATTTTCTTTACATCCTCGAATCTGTATATTTGTACTTTTATCCATTTTCTTTATCATCTCCTGGGTTTTCCACGTTTTATATATATATATATATATATATATATATATATATATATATATATATTAGGGTGGTCCTGAAAATGGTCATTTTCGAATTTCCTTGCTCCTAGGGACTCAAATGGTTCCACATAGATAAAAAAACAATTCTCTGAAAGTTTTAGCTCTTAATATTAACGCTTAGATAGAGCGCAATTCAATCAAAGTTTTGTATGGAAATAGCATGAAAAAATTTTAAAAATGTTTTTGGATGTAATTTAGCGAACAAATGAATGAATAAAACTCATTCATTTGTCGCTAAGTTATACCTAAAACATTTTTTTTAAATTTTTTTCCATGCTCTTTCCATAGAAAGTTTGATTGAATTGCGCTCTGTCCAAACGTTAATATTAAGAGCTAAAACTTTCAGAAAATTGTTTTTTATCAATTTGGAACCATTTGAGACCCTGGGAGCAAGGAAATTCGAAAATGACCATTTTAAGGACCACCCTAATATATATATATATATATATATATATATATAACCGCCAAAAATTTAGAAGCAGGTTTCTTTTTAGCCGTTAACTATTATCTAGGCATCTATAATAGTAAAAAATTTTCATACGCGTCACGTGTGAAAAAACACCATAAAGGCAAAAGTAGGTTAGATGATTTAATTGCTAATTGTAGAAAAAGCTAATTGTAAGTGGCATTTTGCATTAATACAAGTAGCATAAACATAATTCAGAATAATTCAAAAAATCTGTATAAATTAAATGGAAATTCTTTATCATGATTATATTTTTCAAAAACTATTCATCCATATATAATCCCTGATTATTTTCACCAGCTACAACCTGGAGTGAAAAAGTTATCATTGACGATTCAAAATAAAACAGTGTTTTTTATCATATGTATATATAATTACAATATAAATTGTGTAAATTTACATAAATATTTAATATATACGAAAATATTATTCGTGTCAATAGCGCACTTCAGAGACTTATAGTTCGTAGTTTGCTTCTATGCTTCTGCGTGTGTTCTTCAAAGTTCGTTTTCCTGTACTATCGAACATATGATTACTTCCTCAATCCTTCAACAACCTTACAAAGTAAGTTCAATTCCTTTTTCAACATAGTACCGAGAACCATGAGTTCTTTTTTCACACTTTGCAGAACTTATATATTTGTCAGTCTATCTTATTTTCTCCATTTTTCGCCAGGACGTTTGGCTGCTTGATTTCATTTTCGAATAATCAAGTAAAAATATTGGGCAAAAACTTAACGGCGTGCAAAGTAATACAGATCATTCCGTGATAACTGCATTTTTTTGCTTTTGGCTTCTTCTGAAAAGTGTCTATTGTCCCATACAAAAAAAAATTATTAATCGTATTATACGAGTATACCCATTTTTTAAATTATTTCTTGTATTATACCAGCTTAAATGCAAAATGTGTTGCTACGGCTCCGCCGATTCGCAGTTAATTAGCCCTTTCGCTAAGAGCGTCGTCCACGGTCGACATCCACTCAATTACCTGTGTATACGGAAGTTGTCTATGGACGACAGATGATATGTGTGTCAACCTTTGCTACAAATTTATCAATATGAGAACTATTGAGAATTTAAATTTTTATTGCAATTTTTAGATCTTTAGTAGTGTTACATTTAACTTTTAAATGGGTTCATTTTTATTGATGATGATCGAAAAATCTTAAAATATGTTATTATGATTGATCCGTTCAATAGCTACTGATCGACACTCCTGTGGAACTCTCGTAGGAAAAGGATTAAAAAAAAAAGTTTTAACTTTCCCATAAGGATGCATCGTGGTGTTCAAAATTAAATGTTAATACTTACAGGTAAATATAATTATTTAGTTACGAATCATCAATATTGTACTAGACACTAAACATTAATTCAAACAAGCACATTTCTGTAACAGTTCAAGTTCATTTTAGAATGAGTAAACTCATATAAAAAATGTCAAAGTGATAAATGACCACAAAAATATAAATAAATGTTCTTAACCAGAAGTGAATTATGGAAACAAAATACAAATTGTTGACCTTTTGATCCATGTGACAATGACTTAAATATCCATGTTATGAATTGAAATAACATGATTTTAATTTAAATATGTAATGTCATTTTTTCCCTATTGCTTTATTGATGTGATGAATTACTGCACATAAATACACAAAATTCCCTACGAAGAATAACTGCTTCTAACACTTCATTGTTTATTAGTTTATAATAAAAAAAAAAAAAATTTACACATGTATATACACATTCAGATTACTGTTGTATTTATATATATATATATATATATATATATATATATATATATATAATTACTTGCATACAGAAAAATTTAAGTATGCATGATATATTCATACATACTGCGTAATTGTTAAAATTGTACATATTATTAATCCGATCCTGAATCAGATTTTGAATCACTGTCAGAGTGACTTTTTTCAGATTCAGACCCTGAACGTGAACTTGCAGCAGAAGATCGTCTCTGAGCCGATGCGGAACGTGATCGGGAACGCGATCTGAAATAAAGCATAACAAAATCGGTGAAATTTTTTGTGTATTTTAAAAATCACGCATTTGTAATTCTTCTTGTCACAAAATCTAAATAAGTAATAAAATTAGGCTTAAACTTACAAGTTCAATTTTTATACACATTATATCAAAATGTAGAAACAAACATTTTATAAAACTAGTCAAATTCAAAAATGCTTGAAAAGCATATAAATATATAAAGCAAAAAAAAATAAAGTAGTCATCCCCGATATAAAAGAAACAAAAAAAAAAAACTGGAAAAACTAATACTAAGGCAATATTTTAGATATTGAAAAAAAAATCATTTCAAAAGATATTTTTCAGAAGGATGTTTTTTATGCAATATGAAAGAAATTGCATACTGCAAATTAAGGCTTTTAGTTCAATGAAAATGTTAACATAGCAAAATTTGTTATAACATTTTATAGTAGATATACTATCCATAAAATATCTTAATATCATTTATGATAAAATACCTGGAAGAACTCTTGCTTTTGGATCTACTTTTACTTCTGCTACCACTCCTACTGCTCGCATTACTACTCTTGCTTCTGCTTCTTCCGCTTCTAACAATATAAATGGTAATTTTTCAAATCAATTATCAGCAATTACGGTTTTTATTTCAATATTTAGCTCATAAATCATTGCAGTAAAAGTTTGTATGATTAATGTTATAAGCACAATTTCATAACAGATAAATAAATTAAAATTTAAGGAAAATGTTCAATAAATTATTAAAGCTATCTGAATAATTATATGTTCCTTATTTACACCACTTCAAAGAATAATGCTTGAGAAAACTACCTAGCTCCACTTTTGCTACTGCTTCTACTTCTACTTCTGCTTCTGCTTTGGCTCCTACTTCTGCTTCGACTCTTGCTTCTGCTTGGGCTCTTGCTCTTGCTCCTGCTTCGGCTCTTGCTTTTGCTTGGGCTTTTGCTTCTACTTCTGCTCTTGCTTCGACTCTTACTTCTACTACGGCTTCTACTTCTACTCTTGCTTCTACTTCTGCTTCTACTTGGGCTTTTACTTCGACTACCGCTTTTACTTCTACTCCTGCTTTTACTTTTACTCCTGCTACCACTTCTACTTCTGCTCCTACTTCTACTTCTACTCCCACTTCTACTCCTGTTTCTGCTCCCACTTCTACTTCTACTCCTGCTTCCACTTCCAGCTCTGCTATTGCTTTTACTCCGACTTCTGCTATGGCTACGATTTGAGCCAGGAGATTCGTCATCTTGAACCCCATTCTGAGTTTTGTGATTCTGATCTGCATTCATTTCGTCTTCATCATTCTCACCCTGTTTTGTAATACTTTCCTATATGAAAAATAGAGGTGATTTTATTGTGTTGTTAAAACAGAATATTGTTGACAGCATGCAAGGATATATATTGTTTTGGAAAGAATGCGTAAATTGATATGAATGATTATAAAACAATAACATTCAATTCATATTCATGGTGTGATTTTGAATAAATTTCTTAATATCTACATTTGTTTTTAATCAAGAATTGTATAAATATATGTATATATATATATATATATATATATATATAATATGTATATATAATATACCTGTGATTGCTGGTCTTCATTTTCATTGTTTGCATCAAGCTCATCATCATCCTCTTCCTCATCTTCCTCATCATCTTCTCGAGGTGGTTCCAATTGACGTTCGCGATAACGTTGGACACGATGTTCCTTTGATTCAAGAGGTCTATGCTTGACAACCAATCTAAAAAAATTCAATAATTTATTGTAGTAATGTGAATTTTAATATGTATGTTTAATATTAGTGTTGTTTATAATATCCGATTACCTAGTATTGTTTGGTTGTGATCCAGCCTTTTGTCTTCTTTTTGTGAGACGAACTCTAGTTTCTAATTCATTATAATATACACCATCCTGTCTCACAACAAGGAAATAATTTTCCTCATAACCCTTGGACGCTTTGCTTTTAACATTCCAGTTATATTCACGAGCCATTTTATATTCGTACTCAACATCGTCTGTATACAGCACATTATTTGCAATATCATTAAGACGTTTTTCTAGCGTTTTCTCCATTGGTAAGAAATATGCCACAAATTGTTCACCACTCTCATCCATGACACCTCTAAATATAAATAAATATATATACATGGAAATATGAAATTAAAAGAAAGCTTTTTGTTGATAATGACCGTATCATAGCTTGTGACATTTCTTCGATTTGTGCAGGAACTTGTTTACCAACTGGTGCAGGATCTGAATCAAATATAACTTGAGCGCAAGGATATTTCCATGATTTATGATCAGGATAAACAGGTAAAATTTCAACAGGAACGACTGAAGGTTTGCTGTAATGTTTTTCTACAGGTAGTTTTGAATCAGCAAAAGTTTTTTCTATAGCCTTGATTTGACTTGCGTGATCCATATATAATGTTTCTTCCTATAATGTAGAAAAAAAAAATAAGAATCAAAGCAAATATTTTAAATAATACTCATTTTAACAAAACTTACTCTGAAATTCTTTTTGACATTATAACCAACTTTTGCTTCAACCTTTTCCATAGATTGTGGCTGAAATCTTGTTTGTTCGGTGGATATGTACTCTGATCGTCGTAGCCATGATACACTCTTTTTATGAAACTTAGATCTTTGAGAATCTTGCGGAGTTAAAATATCCTCTTCAAGCAATTTTTCATCTGCAGGATCTAATTGAGCGTACGGCACAATTTGATATGTATCTTTATTAATTAGGTCAATTGTTACTCCTAAATCGTGCTCAGTTAAAACATCATATCGATAATTACGTTCCAATGATGTAGGATTATAATTGATAAATCGAGTTTGTTCAAAAGGATAGGTGATGAACTTTAAATCGAATGGAATGTCAGGTAGCGTATTGCAATATTTCACGCGGCAAGCTAAATCGGACCTGTAACATTAAGAATAACTGATATTGTGAATGAATATTTATGCGAAATTAGTTTGCATTATATGTTTTAAATGAAGGACTTTAAACTAAATCATAGATACTACTAAAATGTTCAATAACCTTCTTTCCCCAGCACAATTCCGTTTTTCAGCTCCGGCCTCCGGTTGAACTGTAGGTGCCATATCATTTAGATTCTCACAACTTATTATCCTCAAAATAATTTGTACTATTTATTTCAATAACACTTATTTCGAGATAACTTATAATTAGCAATATATTTATAAATTCATAATGACACAACTTCCGATGCGTTGACACAGAACACGACACAACAAATCAACCGGCATTCTCACTCATGAAGTTGACAGAGACCCATGCTCCATAGACAATTAGACACACAAACACAAGGCGAGCGGCCATAGACAGATAAAGGTGCCGTCCACACCTAACGAACGAACACGAACGAACATGTCGAACAAGAAAATACAAAGAAGAAAGAACAGGAACACGAACGAACGCGAAAAATTCCAAACGAACTTGAACAAGCGCTTAAAAGCAGTGAGCGCTTGAATTTTCGTTGTTCGTAGATGTTCCGTGAAACGTCAGTTTTATTATTGATATGGATGTAAGCTTTAATCATACGGCATTTTCACTGGTTTTTGTGTGATTTTTGTTCGTGTATATTTTGTAAATATACTGTAAATAAATTATTCAACTTTTACTAATACTACTAATACTACTAATAAATTACTCAGTTTTTGTATTTACTATTTATATTTTGAGTCGTTTTCTTTCCTCAGCATTTATATGCGGAGCAAGCTGAACATTCCAGGCTTGAGCTAACTATACTCAATTTTCAAACTCTCATCCTCAACATATATGTTGAATGTCTATGTATGATAACAAGTTTAATATTTACTTGTAAAGATTGCAATTTCTTCTTTACTGCAGCTTCTGACATCCCAAACGTTTTGCCTACACTTTCCCAAGGATCGTTTTTTTTCTAATAATTTTATAAAAAGGGTCTTTAGTCTCCCATATTACAGGAAACTTTTCTATTTCATTTATGAATGATAAAATTACGTCATTTGACCATTCCATAATTTATTCAAAATTTTCAAACTGTACACAATAATTAAAAGTAAATATTATTAAATTATTAAAATTATTATTAAATTATTAAAACAAAAATGTTCGTTTGCGTTCGTTGAGACGTCCACACTGCACATACGAGTTCAAACATGAACGAACAATTTCCTTTGATGTACCGACAAGTTGCGGAACATTGCTCGCCATGTTTGTTTATGTTCGTTCGTGATCGTCGTGGCGTCCACACTATGCTGTTGCCGTTTGTTCTGGTACGTTCGTTTATGTTCGTTCGTGTTCGTTCGTTAGGTGTGGACGCACCTTAAAGTATAAATAAGCGCACTCTTCTTTTATCTATGGGTCTGATCGCCTGCTCCTGCTCGTCCGCTTACCTCTCCTCTTCTTTTATATATGCTTCTCCTCTTCTATGCTTACCTTTATTTATTCTTTTATCTATGCCTTTCCTCCTCTACTCTGTGCCTTTGGCAACGCAACGATAAACTCGATAAACTCGGAATAAAACGGAAATCGATATTGAGGTCTGAACACGGGGTATTCTAAAGGTGCATCCACACCTAGCGAACGAGCACGAACGAACATGGATTTTGACATGCGCGTGGGTCGCTTTTGTTAAGGTGCATCCACACCTAATGAACGAACATGGTGAATGATATGCGCAGATTAAAAATTTCTAACAAAAGTGACCCACGCGCATGTCAAAATCCATGTTCGTTCGTGCTCGTTCGCTAGGTGTGGGCGCACCTTTAGCTATTTTTAATCTGCGCATATTAAGGTGCGCCACATCTAGTGCTGCGTCCCCACTGCACGAATCCGTGCGGCGAATCCTGTTCGCGACGCACGCATGCGTTGGCTCTTGTGCGCGACGCACACTGCGAGCAATTTGATACATTTGAAATTTTTAGGATTCCATAATATTTTTTTTCTTGATACAGTTCAATTATAAGAAGTGTAAAGAAGTATAACATCTTCTCTACGCATATTCATTTTCAAAATTGAGGATTCGATGAAATATCTTAATGCCTTCACTGTACAATTGAACTTATACCGTAGCACAGATCAACGTTTACGTACAAGTTCAAAGAAATAACGTATACGAATACAGAGGCAGGCTGACCAACAATTATCAGTTTTGAATAAAAATTATTACTTCTGTTCTAAATATAAATACTTGTCAGAAAAGACTTTGAGCAAAAATTCAGTCTGCATATTAATAAGATTTTAAATGATATTTAGCGTAATTGCAAATAATACAATATTACCATTTTTTTTTGAAACATTTAATTTATTTTGAATAATAAATATATGATACGTCATATAAGTAGTAAGAGTATATATATATATATATATATATATATATATATATACATGATAATATCATGATGATATAAAATTAACTCTGAAATATGATAAATAAAGTCTACCAAAATATATTTTAGTTGGATATACATATATTTCAACATATCTATAACTTAATTACCGATGTATTTCCTATACTAATAGTTAGATATTCGGGTATTCTCGGCAGCCCGATGCGTCGGGTTGCTCGCGGCGGGAGCGAGCGCCGCGAACGCAAGCTATTGAAATTTTCGTGTCGCTTCGACCATGTTCGGCAGGGTACGTAATTCTAAAAATAACCCCCCCTCCCATTTTCAAACAAAAAAAGAAGAAAAAAGTGCGCTATGGACATGCGCAGTGGACAAATTTAAAGGGAATTCGTGCGTTCGCACAGTATCACTCCGCTGCGCAAATTTGTTCGTGACGCACCATTCGCCGCACGGATTCGTAACAGTGGAGACGCGGCATAGCGAACGAGCACGAACGAACATGGATTTTGACATGCGCGTGGGTCGCTTTTGTTAGAAATTTTTAATCTGCGCATATTATTCATCATGTTCGTTCGTGTTCGTTTGTTAGGTGTGGTGCACCTTTATTCATTATGTTCGTTCATATTCGTTCGTTAGGTGTGGAGCACCTTAATATTGTCTAGGGTCTGGAAGCAAGCGTTCCTTAAGGCAAATTGCTGAAACTTTCGGTACCGCAATGAAATATTCGAAGAATTTTAGACGTTTTCAAATTGATTATTATTATAAATACAATAACTTTCGTTATTCGTATTTTAAAGACAGAATATAAGAGTTCATAAATTGGACGACCTCATTTTATATACTCGTTACATGAAAAGGAAATCAACAAATTTTTTTTTTATTTACTACTATATTTACAACTGTCCAGTTTTTTCATTTCGTTATATATAAATAATTATTTTAATGATTGAAATGAAAGTAAATTGCAAAGTTAAAATTGTTTATTTCAAGTACTTATATAAATGAGCTTTAGAATTTTAGTTAGAATCAAAATTAAAATCTGAATCATTTTTGATGATATTAAGAAAAATTGAAAATAAAAAAATGTACCTTCTTCAAAAACTAATAGTTTCTTCACAAGCATAATAGAATATATTCTGAATCATTCGAATCGGATAAATTTCGGATTCTTATCTCCGAAACGGCTGGACCAGTCTTTGCCAAAAACGTCTTCTAATCATTACGAATTAATGTTTTTTGAATCATTCAAGTCGGATGCTGTTTTCTCAAAAACTTAAATTCCATTTTCTGCACTCTTTGGCTTTGTATTTCGGAAACGGCTGGGCACATAGATAAATAAACAAAACGGTTAGACCAACCTTTCCCAAAAACTGCAAAACATAACCCTCATAAGTAAAATTCCAATGCTTTTTAATTATTCAAATCGTTTCACACACACATCGATTTTTCCTGAGGTATGCCAAATTGTTCAGAAACCTTTGAAACGTAAATTTATGTAAAAATTTTCGATTTTAATTTTTGAACGATTACGATGACTTACGCTACGGAAAGTTTACACATATTCTTCATATATTATATTATATTATGCATATAATATACGTAAATCAACTCATTGTTAATTCAATTTTTTGAATAAGTCTGAATAAATTTTAGCAAATCCTTATTTTTTCACTTCAAGTTAACACCTCGTTTTATTAAGTCTTAAATATAATTACAAAACTGAGCACTTTGTCTTAAGACAAGTCGCATGAACCATATATAGCATGAACTTTCCGATACGAATACATAATCAACTTTATCAATAAAAATTCAGATTCAGGTATTTAGATAAAATATTCAATTGTCTACTTCGAAATTAACATTTTCCTTTTCACTAAAAATAATCAATACGATTTCCAATTCAAGTCTTTCAAATATACTTAATATTTGTAATTGTATAAATTAATTAAACTTGTTTAACACATTTGATTTTACCTAAATCGTGTTCTGAAACTATATCTTATTCAAGTGTGGACGTCAACGGTAATCAGTGCTTACCTACGAAACACCACAAAACGTGCATGCTTCAACATAGCTTCTGATTAGAATCGCTCAACCTTGCGCCGAAATTCATGGATTTTTATAACTCAACCGCTTATAGTTGGCATATAATATTTTAGTATGTTATTTAAGACTACAAAATGTATCACTATACAATGTTCCACGAAAATCGTCAGAATAATTTTTCATCATTTGATTACGAAATAACGGCTCAGCCGATTTTTTACAAAAACTAATTAACGCGATTCCCAATCTTTCAAATAGTATATGAATGTTTAAAATCTCTCAAAAATTGTGAGGTAAAACGAGAACGAAAATTTTACATTTTTTTGCTAATCACAAAGAAATGGCTCGGCCGACCGTCGAATTGATAAACGCTAGGTTCTTATCGAGTTACATCGAATGGCTTTTAAACTTTAGTCTTAACTACAAAATTTAAGTTGTCTATACTGAATTTAATACAGTTTTTCTTCGTACTGCTTTTGTGGACTACAGGACTAATATCTCAAGTACAACATAAACTAATATGTCTTAAATAATTTTATGTATATTTCTAGTAAAATATACATAATATTTCAATTTATGGCAACACATTGCAAATATAACTATTTGTATGGAGGTCATTTATTTATAGAAAAATCTTAATGCATGAGAGAAAACTAAATGAATGATGTAGATACTAAAAAATTCATACTTGTTCTACTGTGTTCATTAGTGCTTGATATATTGTTATCAAGCACAAAATAAAAGTATAATGCAAGTTGATAAGTTTAAAATAAATCTAGCCTGTACATAATGATGATGTGTGTACAGTTAATGCAGCTCATTTCTTCAATCCATCAATTTATTATTTGAATTCCATTTACATATTTTAGTTCGGTATTTATATTTGGCTATAATTTTTACATTTCATATAATTTGTAATGTGATATTGATCACATTTAAAAGTTCATCTATCATTGATATCTTTTTTATGCTAATATAGATATCTGAATTATTGCATGATGCAATGTCTTCACACATCAATATGTATATTATATTTGCAGTCTTCTATTGAAACCAAGTCCCTCTTTTAAAGGCAGAATCGATCTCTATTCTTAGAAAGTTTTGTAAGACATTCTTAAATGCACATATTTAATATATTTTCAAGTAACATCATTGCTGTCTATCGACATAAGTAAAACTTAAAGCATTAAGTAATTATTAATTTATTATTAAATCAATTTTAATTCATAATCAGAGCAATGCATTGGTTAACAGACTACTGTAATATCAGTTTTATATCATATAAATATATTTTATGGTTTTAATGCAATCAACTGCACATGAAATATTTTTAAACATGCAATGGTAACTGATAAAATAATCAACAATCATAATACTTGGTATAAATTTATAAAAAACAAACATATTTACCTACAAACATATTACAAATTATTTGAATATACAAAAATACTATAACAATAATAAAACCTTAATACCTTATATATATTAGTATAGAAGTTACCATAATGAAATAGGTAATTACAGTATGTTAACAATCATATTATTAGTAACTTAATTATATAAATTTTATTTTTAATACATGCATTCTACAATTCCGGAAATACTATGATACAGAGATGAAAGATATATAATTTATGTATAGATCATATCAACTGTATCTTGAGAATAATAAAATGATTTGTAGGCGACATATATATAAATATTTGTGTTGTACTCGGAACAATAAATCTAAATTGTTTTGGAAATACATTATTTAACTTCATCGATTTAGTAATATTATGTTTCATTGTAAAGTTTTTTTTTTCAAGTACACAGTACTTAATGATAATGAAAAAATGAAAGTAAGAAAAAAAATATAGTAAGTAATAGAGATAGTTAAAACTAAAAAATTGACTTATAATGTTAACATGATAGAAAGAACAATTATTTACCCAGCAAGTTTGATAAAAAAAAAATCCGTGGCGCTATTAGTAAGTTAATAATGCAGAACTGCAGTGTGACATATTTTCCAAAGTATTTTTTCCGCTGAAAACAAATCTAAAATCAAAATTAAGAGTCCAGCTGCAAATTTGAAAAATTTAAAAAATGACAATATCTCCGATCAAATGACATGTTTGTGAGATAATCAAAATTTTATCATTCCTGTCGTTTCCTGGCCCTTAAATGGCTTAAAATGATCTGTGCAACAGACTTCTGCAATGCTTTTTTGAAAGCTGTTGAGTTTCTTTTTGCAGCATCCAGCAGTAATATGCAAATGTATTAACACCCCATTACTCCTAGGAAATCTGCAAACATATTTTTGCAAATTACGGCTAAATACTACTCAACAGCGATAAAAAACGTCGCAAAATGCGTAGCGCAGATCATTTAAGGAGAATAGTGCCAGGAATCAACAGAAATTATAAGAACTTAATTTTCATAAAGAAATATCATTATATAAAAGATTTTGTCTGTTATTTTATTTTCTCCGTTTTTTGCAGTTTCACCCCTAATTTTGGCTTCAGATTCATCTTCGGCACCAAAAAAATAAATTGGAAAACCCACAATACAATAATGAACAATAATAGTTTTATTTTTATGTGATTTTTAATCAGATTTTCAGGTAAATAATCATTGCTCCTTAATTTTATGTCTCACACAACTTTTAGAGCATTTTTAGTTATATATAATTATTAATTCATAATTTTCTTAATACATTTTCATTGTTAAAAATTAAATTTTGTTGTTATTGCTTAATATACTCTGTTCACTTAAAAAAATGGAAATAACATAGTTCCAAAAGATCGAAAATAAATGAGGTATTTTCAAAAGCATTTTTGTTTGCATTTGGATTTATAATTTTGATTACAACACAAATTATTAAATGTAAATGCAAATACACACACACGCACACACACACACATACATATATATATATATATATATATATATATATATATATGCACATAGCAATACAAAATATGTTCGGTATACTACTTGTAATAAATATCAACAAATATCACATAATAATAATAAATGCTACCTGAATGTTGCATCTTTTCCAACAAAATATAACATACATAATTAATACTTGAATACAAATTATAAAATTTGAGACAAAATCGATTAGTCTTAGTATAGTTTAAAAAATAAATATACCTAATCAATTTCACTCAAACTCAATGATGGTCCATAATATATTAATTCAGGAATTTGACCCCCTTGAACACCTGTTCCATTTGTACTTTCTGAAGAGCATTGAAACTGAAAAGTCACTGATTTCGTACTTACTTCAGATAGACCTTCCTGTCCAAAATAACTTAATTCACTACCTTCTAAAATAGCAGATGCAGTATAGTAGCATTCAGGATCAATTTGTATAGGATTTTCAAAATACACTTGAAATGTATTACTAGAGCCGTCAGAGTAAAATGATGTATCATTTTCTGATAATACTCTACCTAGACGCTTCAATTCAATTTTCACATTATATTCCGCTGCTCCGTTTGATGATCCATATAATCCAAAACCAACTACAAAAATTCTTTTGTCAACAGAAAATTGTATTGAATCGCATCTACCACGATAACGCCATTGGTTGCTTCTATAAGCACAAGATTGAAATCGATGACAAAATTGAGGTTCTAACCCAGTTCTCGGTTTAACTGGATAGTGAAGAGTAGGTTTTATCGTAGCTGTAAAATATAAGAAAAGATCGATAGTTTCTTGAGGTGTGAGTACACCATATTGTGCTGCCCTATTAGCAAATTCATCTAATGTTACAGTAGGAAGCCTAATTAGATATAAGTTCTGTCCCAGCATAGAACGTTTATTCTGAGGAGAAGGTTCCAGATCTCTTCTCAAGCATTCAGCTTTCGCCCAATTCAATGCCGCTTCAAATAAATTCATTTCCTTACAATTTAAAGTCTCTCTAGATAACACAGATTCTAATGTAGAACTATCAATATCAACAAATCCATCAGATTTTAAAGCTTCTTCTGCCTAAAAAACAGTCAAATAATCAATAAAAGGATTAGCAAATAATTTCAAACCAAACTAATAGAATAAATAATTGAAAATTATATGTTCTTAATTTTAATATATATATATATATATATATATATATATATATATAAATAGATATATATAATATTGATTTAAATGTTTCAAATTTTATTATCAAATATTTATTACTATATGTTTACACAGTAAATAAATATTTGGTAACTATATATTCATTCAATATTGATTACTAGAAATAAACATTATTATACCAACAAATGACTTAATTATTGAATTATTTCACAATTAACAAATAGTATGTGTATTTTGTTCAATCATCTAATAAAAAAAAAAGTTAAGAGCAAACCAATTATTAATCCGCTGCTAAAACTATGTAATAATAACAAATAGTACAGTATTGTATTGTTGCAAAAACTACACAAATCTATCATTTCATTCACAGCAAATAAACACATCATAAAGTATAGTATTTAATATTAAAATACTAACACACATCAGACTCACCTGGGCATCTATAACTTCCCAGCATCTTTCCATGAGATCAGGTTCTTCAAATAGTCGAGATTGACTCAGTAATAAACACGCATTTTTAGCAGTTAAACTTGTTTCTAAATAGCTTACACAAGCCTTTGCCAAATGTGGAACTATGTATTTCTTTGCAACATATAAAGTTGAGAGTACAGTATCAGCTTCTAACTGAATTTCATCACAATATAAATATCTGAAACAAACACAATCCAATTATTATTATTTATATCCTTATCACATATGTTATTTAAGTATTCAGCCAAATAAATTTTAATAATAAAAAATGGCCCCAAATTATTATTCTTATAAATTCTTATTATTATTATAATTATTGTTTTTCCTGTCCATTCATGATATTGTGAAAATGAGTTAGAAATGTTGTTTCTTATTTTATGATTTGATATTAAATTTACATACTTTTTTATGCTTTTTTTTTACGACTGAGGTAGAGTCAAATTGTGATTCATAACATATGAATCTATTAAAATTATTTTAAAAAAATATCTTATTTACAGCATAACAATATACATTAACAAACCATACTAATTATGCAACAAATTTAAGAACATATATAAACATTAAACATTGAACATACAGAACATAATAGAAATCTATTTACATAACTAGCATAACTTTCTTTTTTCATTTACCATATACATAAACACGAATATAAATTCTTTTTCACGTCTTAAATTATCTGATCTGTAAAAAATCATTTTTTTATAAATGAATAGGAAAAAATGAATAGGAGACATGTTTGGGAGAGCATATATTATGTATGTATGTTTGGTAACAAATTTTGTTTTAGGTTCAGAGAGAACGTATCACATGATATAATACATATAAATATTTACATGTCACATATAAATATTTTGAGATACAAAGATACAAAGTAAAAAATGTGAAAAATGGCCATGTGGTCACCAGAAATAATTATTGGGCATATGCATATAAAATTATTTAAATTGAATCATCTAAATTATTTTAATTTTGGAACTTATTTTCCTATACCTTAAACAAACAGTTATTTTCAAGTAAAAGTTTTGCATAATATTTTGAAATTCAAAAGGTAGGTATTTTATATAACTTATATAGTTTGAATCTATGTACCAACAATTTGAATTAGCAAAATTATAAGTTTTATATGTATTTTTTTGTTTAACACTACTCAAACTTGTTTTTAATCCATGAATGTTAATCAGTAATCAAGCTATATAATTGCAAACAGTTACAATAGTTTGCAATTTATGTTTTATAAATTTGCAATAACATTACTTATTAGTAATAGTGATATTATTAACAGAAAATTATTTTTTGTGTTATTTCTAAAATCATTTTACTTTATCAAATACCAATCAAATTTTAATACCAGTAGTTAAAATCTAGTAATTATTTCTTGCACTTGCATTTAATACTGATAAAATTAACTATATAGTTGATATACAGCATTATCAATTATTTTATGACTAGAGTTTTTTATCACCTTTAATAATTTCTGGCACTGATCATAAAATATAGCATAATAGAATTTGAATCAAATTAGAACTATGTGAGCTAATCTCAAAATACAAATTGTCCCAGCACATTTCAAGTCAAGTTGAAGTCATCACACAAGTACATTTTTTTTATTAGGTAAAAATATTTTAAAAATAATGACATGCTTTTAACACTGATACATTATGAATGCATATTTGTTTACAATTTTAAAGGTTTAATGTATGAAAGCATGTTCAAATATTAATAATATACATACAAATAAATATAAATGTGAATACCTTAGTAAAGTTAAAAATGCTACAGGTTCCACATCTGGAACTTCAATTTCTGCTTGATGTTCAGCTAAGCCACCATAAAACATTGCATAAAATACAGAGCTTCCTGTTGCTAGTACATATTTATGTGCTGGAATTCTTCTATTATGTTCTGGAGTTCCAACAAGGAATGTGATGTCAGAAATAAGTTCATTGTTGAACATTGCAGCATTGCGTTCACGCACTGTAGATTTTGATGCTTGCCAATTTGGATCTTCCGTACCTGACATACAAAACACTTCTTAGTAAAACTATGATGAGATGTATTTTAGCATAAAACTGTATTTACCAGGTGATGGTAATGTGAACACAGTGTTGTTTCGAACACCAGGCGATGTTAGTGGACTAGACGGGGCAGTGCAAGGTTGTGTCACAGTGTCACTTTCCTTTTGAGACACTTGAGATGTGGATATTGATAACAAAGGCCCATTATATAAACTTTCAGCTAAAAAATAATATATCTACAGTCGAGCAGCACATAATAATTAAAATAATTCATAATGCATGTCTTGCGATTTACCATTCATCCACGTATTTGTTTGGGGGAAAGACATATCTGGCAATCTTTTTTGATGTTTGGGTAGAACTTTTGAATAAAAATTAGACATAGCTATATTGTAACACAGAACGTCAATAGAATTTTCTTTCACTTGCTTATTAACCACGCTTGTTTCGCCATCTTTCATTTTAAATTTATGGCATATAGAATAAAATCACAAAATTCCTTAGAAAGATGGTGTATAATCGATTAAAAAGAACTACATTCAATATGCTGCAATGACAACCAATTCAATGCAATTACACAATATTCATTCTTAAAATATATGAAATATTGTTGATCAAAGATTGTACAACTGCAACCAATTTTGACAACTTAAATGGCAGCCATCTTTGGCATTTTGAGTGTAAACCCAGGGAGCTGCCGCCGCTGCAGCATTATATTGGACATAGATTCTATAGTTGGCTATAGATTATTAAGTTCGAGCTTGTAACAGATCATATATTGGTTATGCGCGCTCACCACAAGATGGTGTAGTGATATTAAACCAAAGTTTAACGGCATATTAACGATACGTTTTTCTCAGTCGTTTGACAGCAACTCTCTTATCTATAGACGTTTTATTCCTAGATAAATAAGCATAAAGGTTTTATTTACGTGTATGACATTTTCACTGTAAACTAAAAGGTAGCCGCATTATATTAGGCATAGATTCCAAATCAAATATGCTATAGAATATTGAGTTTGCCATGAGTTTGCGATTGTAACACATCATATATTAGTTATGCGCACTCACCACATGATGGTGTAGTGAAGTTAAACCAAAGTTTAACGGCATTTTAACGATACGTTTTTCTCAGTCGTTTGACAGCAACTCTCTTATCTATGGACGTTTTATTCCTAGATAAATAAGCATAAAGGTTTTATTCACGTATATGACATTTTCCCTGTAAACTAAAAGGTAGCCGCATAATATTAGGCATAGATTCCAAATCAAATATGCTGCAGAATATTGAATTTGCGATTGTAACACATCATATAATGCGCACTCACCAAATGATGGTGTAGTGAAGTTAAACCAAAGTTTAACGGCATTTTAACGATACGTTTTTCTCAGAAATTTGATAGCAACACTAAATAAAATATGCAAGAGATTATTAAGTTCCCCATTCATATTAGTTATGCGCACTCACCACAATATGATGCAGCGTTATTAAATCTAAGATTAACGTCATATTAACGTATTAATAATAATTAATTATTTATCTATGGACAGCACTTTTTTATTCGTTGCATATAATTATTCATGCTTACGCAACTGTAACAACCAGTTTTCCTACAATCTAGATTCTAGACCTATCTTTTAATGTGACATACTCAAATAAAATCTATGTGATATACATTGGATCAACAACCACCTCCACCTTGCTTCTGATTACGACTTATATATTAAATATAACTGAATTGAATATCTGTATCATTACTATATTAATTATATAATAAATAAAACTTCTACACGAATTTAAAACAAAATGTATTTTATTGCGAATTCATAATTATCAGTACAACACAAAATATACAAAGCAAAATATACGAAGCAGTAGTATTATGTATTAAAAGAAATATCACAATTATGCGCCGTACAAATATAAGTGGTACGAACAAGATTGATTTTTTTTTAATAACTGTAAATTTAGAACTCACCTGAAATACTGCTGAATATTAAAAAAAGGTGTGAAAAGAAATACAGCCACTTCCTAAAAAGTAAATTTCACATAGAGTATAGCAGTCGAATTTACTTTATGCAAAGATTATTTTTTTATTTGAAGCATTATTTTTAACTTTAAATTTTTAACTAATTTTTATTATTATTTAGTTATATACATAACAGTTATATAATACAAAAAATTGTAAATATTTGAAGAGGGGCAGATATATTTTAATTTAGAATGATTTAAAAAAAAAATGATTTATTCGATTATGCACATGATAAACATATAAGATACGATAAATTGATAAAAAAACAATTGAACTCTACATATAAATGCAATTTCCTATATATTCTTTTAGACTATTTTTTTTCGAAATTCAATGCCAAAAATATATTTTAGAAGCTTACATATCCCTTTATTAATTATCACTGAAAGAGTTCATAACAAACAAATAAAAGAAAGAATATATGCACACTAAAAATGCTTCTTAAGGCTCAACATGAATATATAACAAACACCGAAGATAACATTGTAATACATAGAAGTATGAAGATTTGTTACAAATTACAATAAAAAATATAAATAAAAACAACGTTTCTCGAAACGATGTTTATTTTCTACGTTTTAAAAATACGTATATTCCACATTCATTTTTTGAATAAAATAATATATTCATAATAAAATAACAGAAAAGTTTTCAACAATAAAAATATAAGAAAAACAAATGAGTGTGAATAGGATAAAATTGGAAAGTAAAGTAAAGGGCCGTTTCTTCGTAATTAATAGTTGAAAAAAAAATGGGATGAGATGTGTTAAACAAATAAAAAAAGGATAAAATGAGATGTGTTAAACAACATAATTGAAAATAGTTTTTAACGAAAGCTAAATTTTTATTTTCGATATAAACCGTTGAACATTTTATCTAAACAGCTAATTCTAATTCTTTTTGATAAAATTTGTCATCAGTAACTTCATGCAAGTTCCCTTAAGGCAAAAATGTATATTGCGGCTAGTATATGATTTGTTTGCATATTCAAATGTTTATGTATTCTTTATCTGCTATAATGTTTCAAATAATACAAATTTGCATCATAAGTTACGTAAACAATTATGTGAACAATTTTAAACAAATTTTATAACCAGACATTTTGCAATATTTTTTCAAAGCACTTAGGATAACTTTACATCATTGGATGAATATTTAAATATTAAATAGTTCAGCATAAAGCACATTTAAGCCATATACGTATTTCCGAGGCTTCCCTTTTTAACATAAAGGGGCAGAAATGAGATATATTTAGCGATTCGATTTAATTAAACTGCTAATATGCTGTATTATATACAAAAGAGTGATAGATAAGTAAATATAGCAATAATCAGCAGATATAGTTACAAACAAATATATATATTATTGAATTGACTAAAACGGCCAATGCGTCGAATTGGCATTGGCTGTTTTATTCAATTCAATATGTTTCAACGTCGAACCAAAAATCCTCAATGATGGTAGAGCCTTGGATTTGTAAATATTTTGTAGAGCTTCGAACAAAGAATCCAAAAAGTAATAAAAAAAACATTTTTTTATTTATTTACTATCGACGTTTCGGAACTAGGTACGTTCCATCTTTAAGACATCTGTCAAGAAACATGATTTTAGCAAACGATATGTTTAAGAAAAGCAGAAGATGGTAGATTTTTTATATAAAATGAATAAAATTGTGAAAAAAATGTACAGAAATATGACAACATAAACAAAAAAATGATAAAAATAAATGAGTAGATTATATAACAAAATAGTAAAACAGTTAAAAAATTAGAAAGTTTTAAGAAAAAGTTACTGACAAAACAGAATTTATCATCATTTTCATTTTGATAAAAAATTGGACAATTTCAACATAATGTTTTGATTATGTTACTGGATGGATGCCCAAGAACAATTTTATCATATTATTTCACCTTCTGAAAAAAAAACCTCCCTTTATATAATCCAAGGGCTGAAAAATTGGACAATTTCAACATAAAATATTGAAGATTTTTTTGTCATTCTCAAGACATTGCTTTTCATATATTCTACAAGTTTCAAGACTCAACAAATTTCCTCAAGATTTTTTGCAAACCTACATATCAAGACCTCCTTCACTGAAGATGGGTCAAATCAAGACCCGAAACGTATGTTTTCTGAATAAAAACATTTTCTTTCAATAAAACTGTTTTTAATTACTGGATGGATGCCCAAGAACAATTTTATCATATTTCACCATCTGAAAAAAACCTCTCGCTTATATATATATATATATATATATATATATATATATATATATATATATATAGCAGTTAATTATGACGTCGAGATAATTTTCATATTCTCTATTAATTTTTAAATAATTTTGACAACGAATGACATATTTGCAATATTTTCTATTTTAACTCCGCAGATTCAACAAATAAAACTTGTGTATTGTGTAGTCCATTTGAATACCTGTTATCTTTACATGAATCTGAGCAAACACTTTATTTTTCCAGTCGAAAAAATTACATGGTATCAAAATTTATTAATTAAATTGTATTTGAATTTATACTTACATTATTTTGCACCACTGCCAATTATGTGATGTTGAGAAAGGCATCTTTGCAGGATGGATCAAAATACTATTGACATTCAAGAAAAAATAAGTACATTTTCTCAAATCAAGCACTTTTGAAGTCGGATCTTCATCATATTTAACATACAGATGTCATTTTAAATAATTTAGAGTAATATATTTTATGATTGTGCAGTGGATATTCAATTAATGCGTCCGTCAATTAGAATATTGTGCCTCAGCAATTTCATCCGTTTCTACTGATCTGTGCATTTCCAACAAAGGCAAATAACTTAATATAAATGAAACTGTGTCTTTTGTTGTAAAAAAATTATCAATATAACTGCAAACCAAAAATTCTACAAAACTTTCATAACGACTTACTAAAGCAAAGATTATATTTGAAAGCACATAAATTTATTGCAATTAACACTGCACAAAAATATTTTTTACACAATTCAAAATAAATATAATTGTTTTAAATATCGTGGTAATAAATTACTAAGGAAAAAATTCTAAATTGTTCATTTTTTAATTTATAATCACAAGCGTAAGTTATTTAGATAACGACACACAATTATTGAAAACGCGAGGTCTTTGGGATATAAAGTTACACAAAAACAACTTTTGTCTTTAAGAACTAACATTCTATTTGTCACAAAACCACAATTATTTGATGATTTGTTCACTTAATTGCACAAGGTTTTCAACAAAAAAAAAGATAATTTAATTTAACTTCAATGTTAAATTCTGTTAAATTAAATTTTCTTTTACACAAACCACCCTGACACTGATATTAACACGACACAAATATTATGTATAACTAATTACTAATTACATGAAATGAACCTATCATACACTTTCCACGTCACCACTAAAGATCTAGTACACATTATGAATGGAAAATCTCACAATTACAAATTCACTTGTAAAATTACAGCAATTTTTTTTTTTATCAATTTCATTTTAACGTTTTGAAAAGTAATTGAATTGAAAATTAAAATCAAAATCTGAAATAAATGCTGAATTGTATAATAATTTGTTGTCAAATACTTCACTCAATACTAATCACATTTCACATCAGTTTTCTTGCAACGTGTTTAAATGAAATCAATGCTGCTTCTTCCATTGCGATCATGTGCAATAAATCTAAAATTTCTTATAAAGTACCTTAATATTATATTTATGGACTATTATATTTTATAGTCAAAGTAAAACTTAAATATTAATTTACCTTCAATTTGCAAGTGATAATACAAGAATTCTATCATAATATTCCTATAAATAACTTGGAATATGTAAAAGCTCTTTAAATTAGAAATTGTAAAATTAAATATTTGAATGATTCATTCAAAGCCCTACAAAAATTATATAAAAATAGTAAAATTACAGTATCATACCAAAAACCAATATGGATTAGGCTGTTCCACCTCTGACAACTACAATAACCAAATGGTCTTCTTTAAGCCCCTCCTCTGTGATGTTGTGACATGTTCGCTTTAGCAATTCTGTCGAAAATTCACAAGGCGGGAAAGAGTAAAGCACTCCAGTTGCTTCTGTTTCTTTATTTAATAAAGATATTACGCCTGCAGCTTCTTTCTGCTTGAGATATGAAACAAGATTTCTTAGTGGCCTAGTTTGCACACTAGTATCATCATTTGAAATTGAACCAGTAGATCCAGCAAGACCTAAAAATATCGCATGTGAACTAGATGTTGCAATCCGTTTTTGAACATCTTCAAGTTTTGGTTGATCTAGTCTCAATCTTTGAGTTATTCTCAGATGATGCTTGCCATCTTCGTCTTTCATGAGTCCTTCCACAATATCATTATCACCATCAGTCAAATGAAACTTAGCAGGAAACAGAGAATTTTTTAATATAAGTGCACCATGCCAGGTTGTTGTAGATTTGCGCGCAACTTCCGGTAAAGTTCTGGCAGAAGCTAACATGCCACTACCAACACAACCTCGTCGAGTTGACGTATCTGAATCACTTTCAGGTGATCTATGCCTAGGTGAACGGGATCGAGATCTATCAACTCCAGGCTCCCGAGAACCTGATCTCCTAATGCAGCGAGAAGTTTCATAGTCCAACTCAGGAGGCAGACGTCTACTGACATAATCCTCTTCTCTATAGCCTTCACCATGATATCCTCCCCTGTACGCACCTCTAGTACCACGCCAAGGTCCACCACGGCCTCTATAACTTCTAGGAGGACCAGAATAGAAACTACCTTCTTCCCACCCTTCGTAACTTTCATATTCTGGTACTCGCCTAAACTCAACACTATCTTCTGCAACTGGATATGCATGCTTAGGGCGAAATGGACCACCAGGCGTAACATCAGCAAAATCTAGCCTTAATCTACGATCAGGCCCACCTAAAGGAAAACCTCTCATTTCTTTAACAGCAGCCTGTGCTGCATCTATAGAATCATACAAAATGTAAGCATTATTGTCCCCCTTAACATATTCAATTTTCTTTATAGCACCAAATCTATCAAATTCCCTCTCTAACTGTGGAACAGAAGTCCATGGCCCTAGACCGCCCACCCATATTCTAGTGGTCGGTGTAGCTTTACCATAACCTATTTTGCACTGAAATTTTCCTATGTATTGACCTGACAGTTCAACTTTGGCACGGTGTGCCATATCTAATGTTTGATACCTTACAAAAGCAAATGCATTCCCAGTGCCTGGTGGAGGTCTTTTAATATCAATGTCTTCAACAATACCATACCTACTAAAAATACGACGTAATTCTTCATCTGATATGTTTATTTCCAAATTACCTGCAAACAACGTTCTGGTGGCCAATGGATCATCTTCTGGTTGAACATGATGCAAATAATTTGGAAACTTATCTTTTTTATTTTCTGGTTTTTCAAATGGGGTGTGAGGCCTGGGACCACCATGAATGAGATGACGAGGAACATAGTGGTGCGGTGGACCTGGATGCATGTGTGGAGGTCCATGATGCATGGGAGGTCCACGAGGAAGATATTCATGGTGTGCAATAGGACGAAACTCCCTATGAGCAATGCTCGTAGGGGGAGGTCCATAATTTCGTTCATAGTGTTCAATAGGTCTGCGACGTTCTGGTGATCGTGCATAATATGTTCTTTCATATTCTGGAGTGAATGATCGAGGTCGGCTTCGATAGGTTTCAGCTCGGTTGCTTTCATAAACAGGTTCTACTAAAGCAACTTTGTCATATAAAATTATACGTGGTTTACTATGCTTTGCTTCTCGAGCATCCTCTGCAGTTCTGAAACACACATAGGCTACCCTCTCATCTAGATCATGAGATATTCGAATACTTAAATCACCAAATTTTTTATACTCTCTGTAAAGTGTATCTTTTATTACTTCATCGCTGGCTTTTGGGTGCAGAGCACTTACACAAAGTACTTTATACGAATAAGATCTCTCAGGAATATCCCGTGATCGCATGTACTCTTCCCTGTGAGGGGAAATATATCTAGTCCTTAAACTGGGCGATCTTGCCCTCCGACGAATACGCTCTGGTGTAATCCTTTCATCAGAACTATCTTCGTATCTGCCCATACTGCTTCTGGATCTTTTTGTGCGCGGAGGAGGTGAATCTCTAGATCCACTCCTTTTCATGTTATGAATTTTAACGGTTAGGCGGTCTCTTTCTCCTCTCGATACTCCAATCATTAAAAATGATTTTATTGTACTTATGCGACAAGAGCAATGGCGGTATCCAAACCCGGGACCTCAGCGTCACTGTTATTTAAAAAACAGAAGTTACGAAAAACATCACAACTATACACTTATCACTAATTTAAACTTTATGGCACATTTAATCACAAAATCTCACCGTGTATCTCCAATAATTATTAACAATTAATTTTCAGAAAGCACTCATCCTATGAACTTCTCAGTTATTAAGATATTTATTGTAATGGCGAACTTCCGTCTTCTTGACGCGTAGTAGCAGCAGCATTGCCACGTTCATAAAAAGCAGTTTGAATAACGGATGTAAAATATTCAAAATCCGTTATCGAGCCGTTAAAAGCCGTTAACGCTAAAATTAGTATCTGATTGAATTTTTTTAATAAGTAAAATACATCTTTTCTTCTCAATTTCCAATTCATATACATTGCAAATCTTGCGCCACATGGCAATACATTTTGGTATCCTAAAATGAACAAAAATATATAAAATAGGTTTTGCGTGAATTCTAAAATTTCTTGAAATACAAAGAAAATATACGATTTATTCTGATAATTATGGAAATAGAGCGAAAGAGAGTGAGAGAAGATTTTAAAATAATTAGAGCAATACAACATTTTCATAAGAATAACAAAGTTTGAATATATAAGTGTATAATTATATTTTGCGGTTGAATTGGATATAAGTATACATAAACAAGTTTAAAAGCATAATAGTCACTTACTTCACAAAATCAGGTGCGTAAATCACTGAGGTACTCACTCGCAATTAGATTAATCGTAAACTGAATCAGGTCCATATTGAACATCATTGAAAGAACAAGACGAACTTTAAAAGATTGATGAAAATAAATCGTAATTATATTGTAAATAGATAGTAAACAAGGCAGAGAGAAAAGCGAATGTATAGTATTATAAACACTGAGAATTTATCTGAAATATTATATAGATAGGTTTATGAAAAGCTGAACCATTCTTCGGAACAGAAATGCATATTATTTGCATTATTTAATACTGTATTATATTCATGAATTTTGTTTAATAAAGATATTGCTTGGATCTATATTATTATTATTATTTAATATCTAATATAATTACATTTTTTAAAACAATAATAGTACATATATTTTATCAGTACAAAATATTATGAGCTTGCTGTTGACAAAATAGCAACATGTCTGGATGACACAATATTTCTCAACAGTTATCTCTTTGTCCAAACGGCATCTTCACCTTTTAGTCATAATAAAATTCTGTAATATAATGTACAAATTTGTTTTGTGTTAAAAAGAGAATAAGTTTTAGACTGTGATTTTAGATGTAATGTAAATCTTTATGAAATATATTTTATAAAATAAAACCAATTCAATATCAATTTCTTATTGCGGATTTTTTAATATATGTGTGTATATCTATATATATATAGAATATTACGGTTTATTTAATATAACAATAACTCAATGCTGTTCAAAACAAGTCCAGCCATAATTTGTATTTACAGTTTAATTGGATAACCAATTCGTTTAGGCAATATTTTTGAATATTGCATAAGCAAATAGCTATTAGATTTTGAAGAAACAATTGTATTGCATTGTAGTTAAAATTAATTTGAGCATTCAATAAAAACTAATGAGTTTCCTTAATTTAGCTGTAAATATTACAGTACTTAAATAAAACAGATTTATGAAATTTAAGTACAGTAAACCATTTCAGATATGAATCTGACAGTATAATGCAAACTTAATAATTATGATAGATCAATCTAAGACAATGAATTCAATTGAAAATAGCGTGCTATGAACAAATTACATTCATAATAGGTAGATGTTTTGCTATTGGAAATTAACTCTTACAATTCACATTCCATTCATTTACATTTGACATACCACTAATAAAATTAATCATGTCACATGTTAACAAATTATAAATACTTTTTTCAATAACACATAATTAAATTGCTTCTTTAGCATAAAATACATCACCTAACTAATACTTACGTAATAGATAACGTTGTCAAAGTTTATTTTAAATATTTACTTTATAATAAATTGGATAATTCCCAGAATTATCATATAGTAATCCTAAGGTAGAATACTTTAAATAAATGTTAATACAAATATCACTTTTTATTTATTTTTGAATGACTAAAGTAATTGTATTGTTAATATCATTAAATATATTATAAAATATTCAATCTATGACTATTAGTGATAGTGAACTAATAGTTTTTAGCATAATAGTGCAATAAATAGTTGAGAATAAAACAAAACATTCACTGTTATACAAGATTGTCACAAAAACATATGCAGAGATCAAAAATGATTCCTTTTGTCTATATGCAAGTCAATAAATTAAATCATCTTTTAATTTATATTGGTAATTAGTACACTAGTTAAGTAGTAAGATATTTCAAATTTCAAATGATTCGTAATAAGTTTATACACTTTGTTATATATATATATATATATATATATATATATATATATATATATCATAGTACATAATATAAAATAATATTATATACTATTAACATATTTTTTTTTAATATAGCATTTTATAAATATCTTAAAAACTAATGCAATACTATAATAAATTAATTAGGAATGCATATCTTGAACAAATTAATATGTTATTTATAAATCAATTATAAATAAATTAATTTTGTAGTGTCCACCTAAAATGCACATTTATATACATAAACTAAATATTTACAATGAGCCTATTATTTAGTTAATAATATCTGCCATTTAGACATAGTCAGGGTTTTGTCAATATACCCAAGTTACAGGTACCCATTGTGGAGTAGTGTGGACCCTTTCTATTGCAGCCTCCAAAGTGCTAATTGTTTCCTCTATATCGTTGTTAACAATTGTGACATCAAAGAAGTGTCCATAGGCTCGCCTTAGAAGGTTTGACTCTTTCGCAAGCCTTTCCAAACTTCCATCATACTATTAATTAATAAACTAGCATTAATACTGAATTTGACATATTTTCAGTAACACTATAGTAACTGTTATATCTTACATTTAAGAATAAAATTGTTATTCGTTAATTTGATTATTTAAACCATAATATATGTGAACTGTGAATTATATCATAGTTGTTAATAATATTATTTAAATTTAAAATATTCACTCATTTTTTAAACCACAAAATTTATTCCATGGATAAAACTAAATTCAGAGTATAGTCACAAAAGTGAAACATGGTAATAATTCAGCTTTTCAGAAAGCCTTTTTTGTAATTATTATAGTAGTACTAATACTGATATTTTGTAACAAATATTTATCATTCCCAAACATTATGGAAGACATTTAATCAAAGCATAATAACTTTGTTCGCTTTAATTTAATATTACATAATAGTACAGCATATTTATATGTGTTATCTATCAAGTACTTGCATTTATATGATTAATTAAAAAACTATGGATGTATAGTAAGATTACTCACATCAGCAATATTTTGCAGTATAGGTGCGGCTATAAATACTACAAATGGAGCGAATTCAGCAGTACGCAAAATTTTCAGGGCCTGTGGTTCGACATCTAATATTGCTATTTTGTTTTCCATGTGAATTCTTCTAATTGTATCTAATTTGGTTCCATACATTGCATCTTCGTGAGTACCTGCTAAGTTACTCCAAGTTAGATATTTGATGATGTTCACACACTCACTCATAACACGAACACACACACACACACATATATATATATATATATATATATATGATTTAGTAGTTAATTTTGATGTTGAAATATATGAGTGAGTTCTTGAGGGCGATACATCAAACAAAGAAAAGCCAAAGATTTATAAAATAATCTTTATTTCCAAACGTTTCGACATTCAATTTAATGTCATCATCAGTGGATATTACGTTGGTTAGTTACATATAGAGAAGTGTACACAGCACTAGAGATTTGGCACTAACATTTATACAACTAACTTGTCAGCACTATGCATTTTTTTATATAATTTTTTTGTATGATGTAAACAGAAAAATGATAGTTTTATTGACTATAAAACTATCATTTTTCTGTTTACATCATACAAAAAAATTATATAAAAAAATGCATAGTGCTGACAAGTTAGTTGTATAAATGTTAGTGCCAAATCTCTAGTGCTGTGTACACTTCTCTATATGTAACTAACCAACGTAATATCCACTGATGATGACATTAAATTGAATGTCGAAACGTTTGGAAATAAAGATTATTTTATAAATCTTTGGCTTTTCTTTGTTTGATGTATCGCCCTCAAGAACTCACTCATATATATATATATATATACATGTGTAACTTCATATGTAATAAAAATATAATAACTGACCATATTCAAGGTATTCATTTGCTTGAATATCTGCAACCATTTCCTCGTGGCTGACAAAGCAATAGTTCAGACCATTCTCTTCATCAGGTCGCTGAGGACGTGTAGTATCTAAGGACATATAACATTATGTATCAGTTTCCTAATTTTAGTTTTTTTTTTTTAACAAAAATCTATTTAAAATAGTTCACAAACATTCTTAAATAGAGACAGTTCAGACAAGAGTGGTTTAAGTACCAAGTGAAATGATTTTTAACCTTACTTATATCTGATTCCCAAAACCCACAATAAAAAATGAAGGCATTATTGGGTTATTACTTTTATGAGACATTATTTTTTAATTGTGTTAGTGAATTATTAATTATAAACAGAAGGTTTTACCAATCACACTTACAATTGTTTTAAAAATCCTCCTACAATAATATAAATATAAAAATTTAGTACATAAAATTAGTTAAACCCATTTAATCTTATACTTTAATGTGATTACTAAATGCTCATCAAATACCGAATGTTTGCAATTTTTTCTCAATAACTCTTAATCACTTCCACAGCGAATATCATGTCTCTCTCCAAAATACTAGAAAATGTAGTATCTAACATACTGGCAAAATATAACATGCGCACATATATTGATTTTTTTAACAGTAATTGAGTTAAATAAATTAGATAAATTGCACAAGCAATGTTAATAAGTCTTGATTGAATAATATAATTTAAATAATATTTTATATAAAATTCATATATATAATTTATATAAAAAACTAGATGTCAAATATATAAATAAAATTATTTATTCCACTTACGAGGTAAAGGATATGCATATTTTGTTGGATGTCTCGCTATCAATGTATTTTTTATATGCCTTCGACCAACTCCATGCGCCCCCAAAAGTACTAAAGTTTTTCTCTTAAAGGTGGGGTCACCTAGTAAAGAATATATGTTTGTTCTACTATATTTTATATAGTACAAATTAAATGAGAATATTAAATATGTTTTATAAAAAAAATATCAGCTCACAGCCACATAGAATAATATAATATTCTATTTCACTATTTATGAAATAAATTTTTTTACAATTATGAAATAGTTATTCATAAAACTCACACTTACTTGGGAGTCGCACAACTTCCTCATAGGTAACAAGATCCAATCCATCAAAAACAGCATTATGTTTTGCAAGATATTTATCTCGGCATTTTTTATTCTTTTTTCCAAATATAGAGCAATTAACTGAAAAATATGTATATTTATATCAATTCTTAAATATTTAAATATATAAAAGTATATGAGTACATGAGGTGACCGTTTCATAGATTACTTATATACAAGGTAAACGTTTCAAGTTTTAGGGGGAAACATACACTAGATTATTGATTTTTAAAATACATTATAAGCTGCATTTTTTAGAGCAGTGTGCTAATTTAAAATAAGAGAAAAATTTATGGAATACATGTCACACAGAAAACTGACAACAGTTGTCATATATATATATATATATATATATATATATAATAAAAAACTTGTATGAACTTATAATATTTTTATTGTTTCCATACGTTTCAACACATTATTTTGTGTCATCTTCAGTGGACTCTAGTTTGAAAGCACAGATAAAAATTATTAATTAAAACTAATTTATAAGAAAGTGATATAGTGTAAAAACTTACATGTAATTGTAGTAATCCTAATTATTTCATAATTATAATTGTTCACAATGCACAATAAAAACAATTCTTGTCACTTTAAATCGGAACAATATATGAATTTTTAGAATGAGTTTTTTATTGTATAGTACATGTCGCAAATCCGTATTCCAATGCGAAAGTGAAACCTAAATGTGCACCAATGTGCGCACCACATGTTAAATTTAGGTAGAGGGCACACGATCTACCTAAGTTATAAGTTCATACAAGTTTTTAATTGATGTATTGCCCTGAAGACTGACTCTCACATATCTCAACATCAAAATTATTAAAATTTTAACATATATATATATATATATATATATATATATATATATATATCATTATTTTCCAGTTATGTATTTATCAGGAATTTATAGTATTTTCAATTAATAATTTGATATGCAATTAACCTTGTTCGTTCTTATTCTTTTCAAGAGCCGCATTTGCTATTCGCCACTCTTGAAGTTCAGGAGAAGGTATTAATCCAGCAGACCCTTCGACAGCATCCTTTCTTGCTTGCCACCAGTGATAGTCATCCTTATTGATAATCTAATAACATAAAAAATTAACTGATAAAATTAAATACACAGCGAAGTTTTTAGGATAAAATAATGGAATAAAGCTATGAGTTATAAATTTTTTAGGGCAATAGAAATCTGAACCCTTGTGAACTAAAAAAAAAAATCATTCAATATAAATATGAAAAACCATTACTCACCTGCAATATATCCCCAACTTTGAAGGAAATACCAGCTTGAGCACATGGTATTAAATCATCTTCCAAAGGATCATAGTCAAACTGGGCACGCACAAATACCTACATAAGAAAAAAGGCAACAATTATATCTTCACCTATTTTATATTCACATTTTTCAGACCACCAAAACATCCACAAATGTCTTTTATGCAAAAGAAAACCTCATGATTACCAAAAGTTTGTTCAAATACATATCATAGAGCAATAGCAATGTCAGATAGATTACAAATGTCTAAAATATTACATCAATTTATGCAAGATATTTTTTGCTGTAAATGCATAACATGCTATCGGAAGTTATTTATAAAATGGAATAACCACCACACAATACTAAAGATATAATAGATTTAAAAATTGATAATCATGTTTCATATTAATTTATATACTAATTTACTTATTAAATAAAGAGTAATATTATAAATTGTCAGTGAAATATACAAAACTTTACGTCACACTCAGAATACTTACTAATACAGGTGTAGGCCTAATCCGGAATAACTGAATGGAAATAAAATATCATTACTATCAAAATTGAATATTATATAAAAGTTAAGTTAAACTTAATGTTTTGAATTGTAAGGGCTTTAAACAGATTTTTAAGGACGATTTAATGCGAAGAAAACAAATGAACATATAACATCGTAACAAATGAACATATAACATACAATCTCGTAATCTCTTAAGTGATGTTTAAAAAGCCCAAACTGTATCAACAAGTTGCTAAGATTAGTTTAATTATTATATTTGCAATATAAGATTTTTAGTTTTCTACTTTCACTTCAAGAAATATAGGCATTTGTTAATCCTTATCCAAAGATTTATCTTATCAGATAAATAATAAATAGAATTCAAGGTTTATAAATATTTTGCATACAATAAGAGCCAAAAGATTAATAAGCGTCGAAAGTAAAAATGACCTAATTATACTCATTAAGGGTCAATTATTACAATGCACATGCTATGTATAGCATAAATATATATTAAGATTATTATTTAAAATAACATTTCATAAATTTAGTATATCTAAATCATGAAAATTATATGAGAAACATCCTTACAACGCATTGCATCAGATGCGGCGCTTACCTCACAAGGAGGCGGTGCACTTCTGTATGATGGAACGATTTTGAAAGTTATAGAACCTCTGGCGTCCCTCTAAAAACAAAAGTGATGAAAATTGATACATTGTAAAAAGCACTAAATCTAAAGTGCATATAGCCGAGTCAAAAAGAAAATCCCCAGAAACAAGTCCGATTTTAATCATTCTTTTTCTTTCAATTTTATTTTTCAATGATAATCAAAATTACAAACATTTTATAAGAAATAATTGTTTAAACAATGTGTATGCTATTTACATAAGGAAATCATTAATAAATGATGGGTAGTACTGCTCTGGGGCAGGTCCGCGAGCAGTACTTCAATTCAATTAAGAGAAGATTAGTGCCCATTGCCATTTCGCAATGGCAATGGCCAGTACCCAAAAATGGGCTATTTTCAATTGGAAACATATTTTTATCTAGATTTAAATCGAACTCACGATCCCATCCATATGAGTTTCGTGAGCTTACCATTAACCCCCATGGAGCACCAAGTAAATGATTAAGGTATATTATTTTCGTGTTAAGAATAGTTATTAATAAGTATTGCTATTTACTGCTATTAATAATACAATACGTCATAAAAA